GAATTACAGTAACGCGTTACGTGTTACTGCCCATCTCTGTTGGTGTACCAGGAAATTGTGCATTGACAAACCCTCCCTGCAGCACTGGTTTAGATCATTAATGATCTAATGCCACCAGAGTAGCGGGAGTGATATTTTCTTTTTACGCTCTCCTTACAAAAGTTGGGGAAGCGAGTGCTTCATTCATGTTATGACCTGGCCCCTAGACGGGTTGTAAAAAAAAGCAGACAGTCCCTTATTCTGGAGTCAAATTTAGGATTTGGGAAAAGAGAAGAATATGCTGTTGGTGATAAAAAAAAAAAATAGAATTGTTTTGAAATAAAACTTTTAAAACCTATTTTATCGTTATGAGTTTAGTACTGAATTATATTAAATGCTGCATCAAAAGGGGTGGCTGTAGCTCAGGTGGTAGAGCAGGTCACCTACTAGCCAGAAAGTTTGTGGTTTGATCCCAGTCTGCATGCCAAAATATCCTTGAGCAAGATACTAAAACCATGTTGCTCACTGATGCATCCATTGGAGTGTGAATGTGTGTCAATGTTAGATAAAAAGCACTTAGAGCACAGAAAAAAAGTGCTTGGGTGAATAAGGCAAGCAGTGCAAAGTGCTTTGAGTGCCCAGAGTAGTAGAAAAACATTAGATAAGAACCCGTCTATTTATCGAAAGGAACAACAAAGTGATCACAGATATGTTTATCTAAAGAAAGGAAATTAACACAAAAACGCCTATAAACAACTTATGTCTTTTGGAGTATAGATTGCTGAATTTACGATGTACACCTAATGGCACCATAATTTGCATATTGAACCATACATAAGGATGTAGGTGTGCAAATATAGTTGGCGTGACTGCGGTTCATGTACTCAGCAGAGGAATTTGTTCAAGTAAAAAATAATGATAAATTCATCACAATGTGTATTATTAAAACAATGATTTCTTTAAGCTTATCTAAATTTAAGTGCAGAATAACATTACTTATTGGAATGTGATTATATGGAAAAAATGTCATTACGCAAAGGACATTGTTTATATTGTTTAATAACTGCATGTTGAATGTCATAAACATTTAATTATACATTACTTTTCAATTAGAACCACCATGTCTTAACAATTGTCTCAGTAAAAATGTGTACATCCAAAGGAATCAACACAAGAAATTCAAATTTCTCAAAAAAAAAAAAAAAAGAGAACAAGAGAAACTAGAAAGCGAAAATTTCGGAAGAAATTTTAAGTGTGCCTATGCCGCTGCTAATCAGTGTAGTTTGCCATTCATACGGCTACAGAGAGCAAAACTCAGCAGAGCAGCCATTCTCCACCATGAACTATGGTAAAAACAAAC